GCCTCTACCCATACTCGAGGGCCATTGGCAGTCCATCTCGATGGATTTTGTTGGTCCCCTCCACCCTCCAACTAAGCGAGGTCATGATGCTATCTTGGTTGTTGTCGATCACTTTACGAAGCGTGCACGTTTTGTCGTGTCACTATCACATTAATGCTCGTGATGTCGCCGACACACGAGAGTATAGTAGCCTCCCAAACTCACATGACCGCACGAGCCAACTGATCGCGAATGGATCATCCATTCAAAGTCGGTAATAACATGCTCATCAGCGCCCGCCGTTTGCAGCCAAAAGCAGACACTTTGCAAGTTCAAGCATCGCTTCTTCGGTCCTTGCCGCATCCTTAAGGTCGTCGGTTTCAAAATTGTCACTAGTTTGGTTCGCTTTCCCATGAAGCTACCTAATTAACTATGTCAGGCTCACGTACACGATGTTTGCCACGTCTCTTTGTTGCATCCTTATCACATGTCGCCCAAGCGCTTCGTCTGATGCCCTCATGAGCGCCCTCCACCTATCATGGTTGACAGTGACGAGGAACTCGCCATTTCCGACATCATCTCGCCGAGTTAGCGGCGATACCCACCACACACCGAGTACCTTGTGCATTGGAAGGGCATCCTGATGAGGAGGCTACTTGGGAGCGCCTCAAGCACTTACAACATGCCAGGATGTTGGTACGAGCATATGGTCGTGCTCCTCATGCCAAGATGTTTGCTCCTGCTCAACCGACCGACCCTCTTCCTCCTCCTCAACCTGTGGACGAGCCCGGTCCCTTTGAGGCCGCCCCTTGATAGAAAATGGGTGCTTCCGCGCATCCACATCACACTCGTTGTCGCCCCCCACCACACATCGAGTGCCTTGTGCATTGGAAGGGCATCCTGATGAGGAGGCTACTTGGGAGCCCCTCGAGCACTTACAACATGCCAGGATGTTGGTATGTGCATATGGTCGTGCTCCTCGTGCCAAGATGTCTGCTCCTGCTCAACGGAGCGACCCTCTTCCACCTCCTCAACCTGCGGACGATCCCGCTCCCTCAGAGGACGTCCCTCAGTAGAAAACGGGTGCCTCCGCGCGTCCACATCACACTCGTTGCCGCCCTCAACATCTCGACGACTGACATTCTCACCACCTATGCTTCTACCACTGACTCACACCCTCATGTAGTCCATCATCAGGTCTACTTTAACAAATCGGCATTTTACAGCTCTGCTTCGACATCAACCTCGACTCCTACTTCATCGACGCCATTGACTACTTCGAGGATTTCAGCTACTTCACCATCTCTCGTTACTTTGGACGACACTACTTCACGCCACCACCCTACCTTGTACATTCCCTTTTGTGTGCCGCACGATGGTTCTCACTTAGCTGGTTCTCCCAGAGTTGGGCTCTCCCTTGGCATCACAAAGGCATTGGGACAGTAGCATTATTTTGGTTTCCCTGCTCCCATATCTGGCTCCCTCCCAGTCGACAAGTTGTATGCATGTTTCCCTCACCCACGTCATTCATCACCCCTAGTCTGTGTCGTCCCCCGTACGTCGTACGGGAGGTCTTCGTACGGCCCGTGCATACGGCCGTACGGACGCCCGTACGGTCGTACGGACGACGGCCGTACGAGGGTGATTTGGGGCCCAAAAAAAGTGCAAGAAAAAAAAAAAAAAATATGGGGTTGTAGATCTACAACCCCATATTTTTATTTTTTATTTTTTAACCTTTGGAAGAATTAAAAAAAAATCAAAAACAAAAAAAAAGCAGGAAAAAAAAGAAAAAAAGAGAAACTAGTAGGGGAAAAAAAAACGGGCAGTTGCCCCGCATGCGCGCGCGTGTGTGTGTGTGTGTGTGTGTGTGTGTGTGTGTGTGTGTGTGTGTGTGTGTGTGTTCGCGGGGAGGAGGCGACCCCCCCACAATCAATCAATCAATCAATCAATCAATCAAAAAAAAAGATAAAAAGAAAAAAAG